TATAATAATAATTATATATTATATTATAGTATAATATAATATAATATAGTCATAATTTTTAACTATTTACAACAATTTAACTTCATAATTTACCAAACGCTATTACACTAATTTTAGAACCAGCACAGCTACTATAATTATAGTTTACCAAACACTCAGCTACTTTTTGTAACGGCTGCTTCTTTTTTTAGCACAGTTAAAAGTAATTTTTTCAAAATCTACAATATTACCAAACTAAGCCAAAGAGAGTGGTAAAGTGATTGTTCCTAATATTTTTTTAATTTTAAATATACTCTTTTTTATTTGAGTGGTTGTGAATTTGTATAATTGATATTAAAAAGTATTTAAATAGGGATAGAAAAGTTGTTATGAATTATTTCAAAGACTAATATGTAATATAATAATTTGTAAACTTTTTTTTTCATAAATTATAAAATAGACATACACGTAATTAACTCAACATTTGTAAGTAAATGTAGGCTTGAAGCCTTCACCGAAAATGAGCTGGGCTACAAAGTAATGATGAGCTCTTCTGCAATAACAATAGATTTTAATGTTTCTCAATAAATTATAAATAATTTTCTTAAAAATAAAAAAGGGTTGACAATTGAAGTTAATGTTGAAATATTTTTATGTGAACTTTCATAATTATAATAATTTATTATGTAATTAATTAAAATATTTTATAAATAATTGTGTTAATGTGAATTAATATATGCATGTATATTAAATATTAATTTATAATAAAATAAATATTTGTTTTATTAATTTATTTAAAAGATATAAATTTTATCTATCTTATAATATTTAGTCAGCTCATTAAATCAGATACCCTATCTAATTGAATATTGGCTAAAGCTAAATACCCTCATTTTTTATATGTAGTCAGCCACCCTTTTGTTTTTGGGTGGGCTTGTGGCATTTTGTGGGGGTGTGGCCGAACAGAGAGAGGGAGAGATAGGGAGGAGCTCAATGGCTCATCTTGCCTTTCTTCTTCCTTTTGCAGCTCCTCCACTCACTTCCAGCCGCCATCAACGTTTTTCGGTGACCATGAACGGCTTGTCTCCGCTGCCCACCGGAAGAGGTAACATTCTTTGTCCATTGATGTATGCCTAAATCCCAAATAAATTTATATGACATTTTTGGATTTTTAGCTAGATTATTATTTTTAATCTTGTTTAGATTGTGTTTAGATCATTTAAATCAGTTAGTTCCTCCGTAAGTTGAAGAAGAAAGTTTAAAGGGAAAAAGCGATAGAAAAAAGTAGTTAAGTCATACCGTTATGATGTTTTTAAAGGAAAGAAGTGGCAATTGAAGGCCTTTTTTTTTCCTGGTGAACAAGGCAATTGAATTTAATTCTTATGGCTGGTGAGTGATATTGGCGTGAGTTGTATTGGTTGAGAGTTTTTTAGGAAATGGTAGTTGACTTATCTGTAATTATATCCCGATTGTTATGGGATTTTGTTCTTTTTTATTTTCTTATCAAAGATAACTCCGTATCAATGGTTACCCAAAATAATTGGTTTATATATATATATATATATATGCTCTGTACCTTGACGAATATACATAAGAAAACTTTTTATTCAAAATTCTCTCTAAGTTATCATGGTATCAGAGCAGAGATCCTTGGAGTTTCCTTAATCTTCCCTGCACGAGAAGCTGCTGTTACAACATCAGTGACGGAAACCGGAGACGATGGCAACACCAACTGATCTGGTGGAATGAGAGCAGTAGAGTACGGCCGCTATCCTCGAAGATCTTATGACAAGAATGCCTCATGCTTTGACTCAAAACCAGACCCAGACTCCAACGGTGACGTACGATACTGCCGCTACAGAAATTGGTATCAAACTTGATGGTACCAATTATGCTCTATGGTCTCAAATTGTTGAGATGTATATCTCAGGCAAAGACAAGTTGGGATATATAAATGGCGAACTCCCACAACCCGAACCGAATGATCCCACTATTAGGAAATGGAGGACATATAATTCTATTGTGAAGGGATGGTTGATTAATTCAATGGATCCTTCATTAATCAGCAACTTTATTCATTTTTTGACTGCCAAACGTGTATGGGAATCAATTGCTACAAC